AATGAAGAAGAAAAAACAGGGTTGGAATATTTCTCTTTCAATTATGTCTTTTCTTGTTTCTTTAATTGTGATACGGCAAGCACAGAGGTGTTCTTCTCTTTGCAAGAGCTTGAGGAGTAAGAGGTGACCTGAGCTTTGAGAGATTTCCATTAATGGGTGGTTTTGAATTGTGGAGATTAGATTGTGGGGTTGGTGTTCTTCGTCGATTGGGATTTTGACGACGTGGGTCTCTTTGAAATTTGCCATTAATTGGGAAATTTAGATGAGAAAGTGAAGATTGATGCGAAATGTAGGAATAGAAAACAATGTATATATATGGAAAACTAATCTCCATAATATTTCCATAATATTTTCAGAATAGAAAACTAATCTCCATAATATTTTCATAATGAAATATATGCCCACCCAATTTGTTCACCATTGTGTAGCCGAAAAAATGTATTTTGTTCAGAACTGTTTTGTCGAACAATAATGATCCTGTCAGCACTGTATGTCTGAACAAAATTTGTTCATCATTGTGTAACTTGAATCCATTCCAATTCACAACTTAAAATAACATGAATTAAATCCATTCAAAATATATAACTTAAATCCATTCAAATTCACTCTTTTCCATTCTAAGTTAGTTTAACAAAGAAAATTACATAACTGACAATCTGCATTAATGTTCGGAACCTATGTATTGAACGAAAGGATTATGTTCAGTACCGTATTATCGAACATAATTCTAACAGTCAGCAAACCAGTACCGAACAGCTCGAACAAAACAAGAACGGCCGAAAACGACCGAGAATGTTAATACAAGACAGATAAACTTATTAATGGAACGCCGATCTCACTAGAATTGTTGTCCTCGTCCTCCATTGCTCTACATAGTGAAATAAGTGATGAAGTATACGTTATACTTGAAGCAAAACTTTCAAGTTCAATAGCATTGATGATGGTGATGAAGATGACACATTCAGGATTTAAGATGATTATGAAAAATAATAAATTTAAGGTTTATATTAGTTGGTTATGAAAAGTAATAAGTTTAGCGTTTACAAACATAGAATACGTATAGTTGGAGTTGGAGGTGGGGGTGGAGGTGGGTGTCCAATATTATAGAGTATTAATTCTTATTGATAGATGGGTGTTCCATTTAATAATGTCTTTTAATGTAATTTTACTTTAGGATATAATTGTAATAAAAAAAAAATTATAAAATGAGGGGTCCAAAAAATTTTGGCAGGTGCTAATAACAACACTCTTTGTTTTTTGTGGCTAAAATAGCCTATTTTGTCTTTTGTGGCTAAAATAGCCACTTTAGCCCTTCCCAAACAACACTCGCCCTTCTCTCCATTCTCAAACTACTTTCATATCACATTCCTTATTTACTACTCATTTTTTTTTTTTTATTTATAATTTCTATCTCTTCTAAAAAAATTTGGAAAAAAATAGAGTGATATTTCTCTTACAATAAGTACATAGTACTAGTTTAGGCGAATTAGTGGTCCATTAGATTTTAAAATTTTAGGGAAGAAGTTTTCTTTATCTCACGATTGTACTTTAGCCTTGTTTGTCATAACTTAAAAAAGTCAAAAAATCAATATTCTATTTAAGTCACATCATCTTATTTAAGTCACATCACCTCTCTACTACTTTACATCAAACCTAACCCATACCCAACTCATATTTCATAAAAAGTCAAAAAGTACACTTATTTAGATCATCCAAAACCAACCTGCTTTGCCCAAAGCGACATCTACTTCTTTTCTCTTTGTTAATAAATTTGCATAAATGCCATTCATAACTAAACCTCTTATTCCACCCCCATTCTTCAATGTTTCTTTCACAATCCTCTATCACCCATTACCATAAAGCAAGGCATTGGATAATTTTTTTTTAAAGATTGTGTACTTTTATTTATTTATAAGTTTTAATTTAATTTATAGTCTTATTAGAGTGGTCTTCTATTTTTGGTAACTTACTTAGGGTTTTAAACTTTGGATCATGCTTGTCTCCGGTCCGATTCGAAGTGGAGCGTATTATTGGGCCCGTGAGGCCCACCACATGTCTAATTTCGATGATTTGAATTGTCAATATATAGGGCTCATCGAGTACTTCATCTCTGAAAACATTACGTTGATTAGATACTGATAGCTACTTGATCAAATCATATTTTTGTCAATGGTAAATATGATTTAAAAAATGAATTGTTAACAAAAACATATTTTAATTAAATAGCTATCAATATTCGATCAACTTCATTTTTTGCAGTGATGAAATACTCAACTAACTCTACACATTAAACAGTTCAGATCATTGAAATTGGACCTATAATGAACTCCACAGACCCAAACAATACCATACAATCCACAAAGTGGACTGGAGACAATCTTGATCCTTAAATTTATAAATATTATCTCTTTACATTATAATATTTAGGTTTGAGAATATTATTAAAACTGTAACCATTTTTGTAAGATTATTTGACCCTTTGTATTCTCACTACTAAAAAATAATCAATTTTTGTGACTCTACAAGCCGACACAAATAATAGAAAAACGATTGTAAAAAACCTTTTGCAACGGCCATGTGCGTTGACAAATGAAAGATGTGAATACGAGTGTGATAAATACTTTTTGTGATGATAGAGTAGCGGTCAAAAATTATTTGTGATTGCTTAACCTCCTTATTTTGTTGTTTTGCAATTGTAAAACATATACCTACTATGTTTTAGCGACCATCTTTTCATCGTCACCATCACCCATAAATGATACCCATAAATGATACAAATGGATCATTTTAGCGACGAATGTTTTGTTATTGCAAATAATTTATCGTAAAAACTATATCTGCATTTATTACAACAAAAATATCAATTGCAAGCACATGGCAAAATTTTTTTTTTTGTAATGAAAAATAACGTCAAATTAACAAATTAATTTAAACATGTAATAGAAATATCAACCTATATTCTTATATATATATATATATATTCAAATAATATATACAGTAAATATAAAGATTTAAATTTGCAAAAATTCCGACATTCATGCATATATACATATATATGCATATACAAAATATAAACTTCTATACATGCAAAACAAATATCCATCAACCGTTTTTGAAAGTGTTTATACAAAGTATTAAAAAGATTTAAATTCTCAAAAAAAAAAAAAAAAAAACAAACAAACAAACAAAAAAAAACAAAACAAAAAAGAATAGTATAATCTCAATTTGGCTCTTAATATCATCCACTTGATCATATCAGTTACTCCCTCAACAAAACCTGCCAAAACATATATTTATACTAAGTTTAACACTATAATATTAAATTTTTCTTAAGTCTAGTAATAAATTATTCAAACTTAATTTGAAAATTTAATGAATTTCCATGTTTTAATTTAATTTATTTACATAACAAGTCGAGTAATGTTGCCACATGCCTAATAACACAAGAATTACATAACAAAGTATCAAGACACATGAAAAAGTACAATTTTCATACAAATAATGTTATATACATCAATTGGTATACCAATTAATGTACTAACGATGATGTGGCCTAATTTTAGAAATTTTTGGTCTTTATAATTTGTATAATGGATAAGATTATAATTATGAAATGATTTTATCATTTCTTTCTTTCTCTCCATCTTTGTCATTCTTCTTCTTCTTCTTCTTCGTCTTCTTCTTTTTCACTTATGACATGATGTGACGCATGGTTCCAGGTGGTAACGGAGCTAGTGATGGTGGTGGTGGTGGTGGTTTGACGATGGCAGTGGAGCTCACTGTGATGGTGGTCGTGGAGCTTGATGGTAGTGGTAATGGAACTTGGTTGTGAATGGGGTGGATTTGGTGTTGTAAGGTGGTGGTGATGCTCGTGGTGGCAATAATGGAGTTTGGTAGCAGTGAAGTTGGTGGTTCGGATGGTAATGTTGGTGAAGTAAATGAAGGTGATGAAAAGATGATATAGATAGGTAGATAGATAAGAATGATGTGATAATGTTATTATTTTGAATAAAATCATCATAATAAGAATGATGTGACAATGTTAATAAGTATTTAGTATAAACATATATAAAATTTATACAAAAAAACTTAATAAGAATAATGTGGAAATATTGTTATTGTGAATAAAATCATCTTTAATAGTATTTTATTTTGAAATAAAAGATTTATAATGAACTATATCCCCCCCCCCTTTTTACATTGTATTACTCAATTATTATTATTTTTAGGGTGTATTACACTGATAGTCTTTATAATTTGAGGTGTGTGTCATTTTGGTCCCTAATTTTTCAATTGTGACACATTTGACCATGAATTTTGAATCTTATTCCAAACAAGGACAATTGTATATACTATTGGATTTTTCAAGGACAAAATCATTAATTTGATAAAATATAAATTAATTTGACAAAAATAAATGTCAAAAAATTATTTTTGAATTTTTCAAAATTATTTCTAGCTACTAAAGATGAAATTATATAAAATTGATAAATCTTTTAGACATTTATTTATTTATTTTACCAAATTAATTTTTATTATATATTTAGATGATGATCATATAAAATTAATTTTTAAAAATTGATCATGTAATTTTTATTAATTTTTATCAATTTTACATAATTTTATTTTTAGTGGGAAGAAATAATTTTAAAAATATTTTAAAATATTTTTTTTACATTTATTTTTGTCAAATTAGTTTATATTTTATCAAATTAATGATTTTGTCTTTGAAATTAAGTAATGATATATTCAATTGTCTTTATTTGAAACAAGATTCAAAATTAAAAATAAAATGTGTCACAATTAAAAAATCAGAAATTAAAGTGATATAACTCTAAAATTATAGGGACTATTAATGTAATTTGCCATATTTTTTATTATTTTATTTTATTTTTATTTTCCAAATCAGCCAATTCAAACGGGGAGGGAAAGGCGTTAGACTTCTAGCAAATAAGGAAAAATATCAGAGCTCAGCTGAGAGCTGAGTGAGTGAGAGAGCATTTATTTGCATTTTCATTGCAATTTGCCAGATTGGAGATTACTCACCAAGCTCTCTTCTTCGCTATGTATAATCCATCCTTCTCCGTTCTTCTATTTTTTCTTCTTCTTCTATACCCGCCCCACCCCTAACCCTACTCCTCTCCCTCTCCCTCTCCCTCTCCCTCTCCCTTGCCTCACCTCCCGATCGACCTCCTCCTCCTCCACCACCGCCTCCGCCGCAATGGCGTCCTCCTCCGTCCAACGCCGCCGTCTCTCTGTAAACACCACCACCAACCTCACTCTCACTGCCGCCGAAAAAGTGATCGGAGACAACGATCTGCTGAGCCAGATCCTGATACACCTACCGGCGAAAACTCTATTCCGATTCAAGACCGTATCCAAGAGATGGTGCTCTCTCATTTCGGATCCTTTTGTTCTTCAACGCTGGATTCCGCCGAAATCTCCTTCCTCTTTCTTCTTACGAAGGTATTCTCGCTTTTCTCACAATATCAAATTCAATCACGTATCTCTGAATGGTCTTGTTAAACACAACCGTTCAATTGCTCCTCTATATCTCGATTTCTTCGATAACCGCGACCTTGTCATTATTTCCAAGTCCTGTAATGGCTTATTGCTCTGCACTTCCTCTTGGCCCGGTTTGGATTGTTGTAATCACAGCCGTTGCTATGTTCTCAACCCTACCACCCAGCAATATTCCACCATTCCTAGGCCTGTTAACGGGGGTCAGTACGACCACATAGTTTCAATCAACTTAGCGTTTGACCCCTCTCTTTCACTTCACTACAAAATAATTGCTTTCATTTCCAGAAGAGACCTCAGCCCTGCATACCAAATTGCTGTATATTCGTCCGAAACTCGAACTTGGGTGATTTCTGTACTCGTTATTTACCCATCGGATATGATAATTGCAAATGGTGTATTCTCCGATGGTAAGATCCATTGGTTTCGTTGCCACTCAGAAACATCAATAGCTTATGATATTAATCGAGATGAATCCTTCCCATTCCCGATGCCATATAGTCTCACAAAGTCCCCAGCGTATTTTGGGGAGTCTGGAGGTCATCTACTGTTCATTGAATCTATTCAAAATTGGGGTAATCAGTTTGATGTGTGGTGGTTGGAGAGCAACTATTCTCACTGGTTTGTGAAATATCGTGTTGACCTTGAGATGGGTGCATTGGCTTTTCCAGGGATAACGGATGAAGTCGAAGTGCTTTGCTTCCTTGGAGGAGAAGTTGAAGGGGATTTATGCTTGATCTTCTACCTATCTTGTCAAGTCATATCCTATAACTTCAAGGATAGAAGTTTTAGGAAGGTTTGCAATTTGAAGCTGCGTCCTCTTGATATTGAGAATATACAAGTGTGTCCATCAGCTTTCATCCATCCATGCATGGAAACCATATTTAATGTTTGATGGCATTTCTTTGGAAAATAATCGGTGTCGTCTCCATTTCAATGTTTCATTTCCTTTCTAGTTTTTTTCTTCCTTCTAGTTAAGAATGTTTTTTCCCCTCTCTTGGTGTAATAATTTCAACAGTTGTAAGCTTATTTATGCCTTTTGCAATGAAATGGTTTTTAACATCAAGGATGTGTCATTTATGATATGTTTAATTGATTTTATTCCTGTTCGATTAAATTTATATATGGCTTTTGCAATGAAATAGTTTTGTAACATCAACAATGTGCCATTTCTAATATGATTGATTTTACTTCCTGTTTGAGCTTATTGAGTTTCTAAGTAAGAACGTAATTCAAAACTTTGGCGAGGTGATGAAATGATGATGCATTTGCGAAGGCTGTGACCAATCAAAAACTACGTTATCTTTACTATCGGTGGGTGCCAAAGTAATGATGAGTGAATGAAATATATTAAAAAACGTGGTTGGACAATAATCAGAAAGAAGATTTAATGTATTAATGAAGTTAAACAAGTTGAAGACTTGAATAATAAGGTTTAGGATGCTTTGTATTTCCTCTTAAAGGGTCTCAGGATAGAAATGTAGAAATGACGTCATGTGAACGTAAGATTTGTTAGTATATGTTCATCGTGAATATTGTTTGAATTTTATAATTCTGTTCTTGCTTCTCAGAAATGAAGCTGTTTATTGCCAATAACCTGCATTTCTTCGGCAACAAATGATTGATGCACTTCCCTTTTTCCTGTATTTTTTCCTTAGAATCTCAGTCATGTACTTGCTTTGTAGAAATGACAAAGCAATAGACCTCTTCTCTTCATTGCTTTTATTTCTTCTTCTTCTTCTTCTTCTTCTTCGGCTGGGAAGACAATAGGAGACTTGAGCCCCTAACATCAAAGGTTGACAAAGCATCAGATTACATTTGGCCTACAAGGCTGTTGATCTGCTGTAATAGATTTGAATTGTAATCTATATTCCTTCTCTCTCTTCCGCTATTTCTCTTTCGTCACTAGTGTTTTTCTTTTCTTTTCTTAATGCAGTTCTACTTTAATATTTCATTTTGTTTGTACCAAATTTAAAATCAATTCTGTTTTCACTTCCTTTCAATCTTTATTTTTTGTGACATGTCATATTTCTAACCAACCAAGTATATATGTTTGTTTCTTTCTAGTAGTTGCCAATGATGACATTATTAAAAAAAGAGCAAAAAAAAAAATGTTTGGTTGACTCAGATTTAGTTAGATTCACTAGATGACACAGGTTGGTTCTACTCCTTTTCATCCCTATTATTTTCATACATAGGAAGAAGATGGTATATTTTTTTTCCTTCTTATTTTCAAGTTTAGATCTTTTTGTTTTAGTAAATGAATGTGTTTGTACTTATAATACCCAGGTTGATTGTCAACTGTTTTCTAAATCTTTTTTGCTCTGCGTACTTCAAAGTATTGTGTGATCTTTCATATAGTATTGGTATGGAAATTCATATAAAATCTAATTCCTTCTATGCATGTTTAATAAGATTTGTTTGAATAGTTTATACCAATGACTAGTAAAACATGAAGTATGAATAGAATCGTAGTAATCATTGTACTACCATCGTAAACCTAAAATTCAATTTCAACGACATTTGGAGCCTATATTCTTTTGCTTCATTAAATTTGCAATTGAAGTATTTATTAGGGTCACTTTTAGTACCGTCCAAACCTAGTAACTGTATTTTTGCAAGAAGTCATCTTTTTTTTTTTCTATTTTAAACTAATTTATGTAACCTAAAACACCACCCTTGTGTTTGAGTCATGTATTATATCCGTATTGTCCCTAAATGCTTTTCCTTGCCAAAGAATATTAACTTGACCAAGACATTTATTAGGTGATCTTGTGTAATTAAATGAATTGCTGCTAGGTTTCATCGACGTATTGCTACATTGTCTTGGGGGCTTAGTCATTGGTCAGGGATGTTAAATAGCATGTTGGCATTCTATATATGGTTCTCTTCTTTTACTTCTCATTTCTTCTTTCTTGTTTCTTTTTATCTCTTTCTTTCTTCACATGTATTTTTTATGCCTGTATAGTTAATATCTTTGTTATGATTATAGCTTGAATTTCTTTCCTTGACAAGAACTTTATATTTCATTTGTAGTCATATGATTGTTCGTGTATACTATTGTAGACATGTAATTAACTATCTACTAGTTTAGGTATTGTTCGAACATTGGCACAATCTGTTAGCTTTAGTGTGGAATCTCCTATTGTTGCTAAAAGGTGTAAGGTTTAAGTCCTTGTTCGGATATGGGGGTATGTTTCCCAAAGACAAAAAAATGTCTTTCTTTTGTTGGTTAGAGTGTTTCATTTCTCGATGCAATGATAATTTGTTTGTTAGGTTTTAAACACATCTGTGCTTCTAGACCCTGCAGCCAAGAACACAAAATCTGATATGGGGGTATGTTTCCCAAAGACAAAAAAATGTCTTTCTTTTGTTGGTTAGAGTGTTACATTTCTCGATGCAATGATAATTTGTTTGTTAGGTTTTAAACACATCTGTGCTTCTAGACCCTGCAGCCAAGAACACAAAATCTGATAATGTCTGATTTTTCTTCTTTGTAATAATCTATTGCCATATGTTCTTTCAAGTTTCAGACTTAAGATTTCAATTTTAAAGCTGGGACGAGATCTTTAACCCAACGGAACGGATAGTGCAGTCATTTATGTTTTTTAGAGAGTGATCAAAGACATGTGAAGTCTCATTTAAAATTATTCGAATGCTGATCCAAGAATTTTTTTTTTTGTTTGTATGTTACAATAGGTGGATAGTCTTGAGAGTTCAAAGTCCATTGCTTTCTAAATCTTAAGAGTTTGATTTTGCAACTTATATTGTTAGTTTCTACGTTCTAGTTGATGTTGGAAAAACAAGACGGAGAAGGGACTTTTTCACAATCCATTGGTTATAGTATATGGCTGTTTAGTGATTTTACTAGTTAGGGCTACGTTTTTGGTTGCGAAACTTCTATTTTATTATATATATGTATATGTATATATATTTTAAATTCTTGACTAGTACTAGGTATGCTGTTGTAGGAGTTTAGAAAGTCATGGTTATAGGAATTTTTTAGGAACCTGTGTACTGTAGTTTCTATGAAATGGGCCCCTTGTTACACGATTTAAGAGTTGTAATGAAAGTTTTTCCTGTTTAAATCATTAGGTACTTTTATTTTTTCTTTTTCCTATTTGCTGAATTCTTCTACTAACTCGAGTGTGGAACTCAAGCGGCCCGTACGGAGTAAGGTACTTTTCTCTTTTATTTTTCCTATTTGCTGAATTTCTGTTCATTCAAATCGGTCAAATTGGCCTTAATCATCATAATCTGAACGTATCTCTTGTAATCCATTATTTTACAATGCCTAATCCTATTTTCCATGTTTTAATCTATACTTAGAGAGTGTATCACTCTTTAAAGGTAGAGAAGGCATGCAACTTTGATGGTGGTAGTGTTGTCGGAAGGACTGCCAGCATTAGGTGGTTCAGGTGGCGTTGTATTGTTAATGGTAGTGCTTGTGCTCATGTGATGAACATAAACTTGAAGTTGAGTAGAAGTGGAGGCAGAGCAAGTGGAGCTTAACATGAGTGTGGTGGCGGTGGCATCAGTTGCCTTCGTGGCAGTGGTGGTGGTCATTCAAGTGGCCACGGTAGATTTGTACTTTACCCTTCTAAAGGTTGTATACCTTTTCTGTTTCCTTTTTGTCTTTTAATTTATGTCATGTGAAAATCATTTTATGCATTTGATGGCAATCCTTTTTTCATTAAATCGCTTTATTCTTGGAATGTGCTATGTTAATGAGGGAGATTAAACTCATGCTATTAGCGTAGCTTTGTTAAAGATGTTTGCTTCATTAATATCTTTCATGCGTGTAAATCTTAAACTTGTGTAAGGCATTTGTCATAGATAGAATTCAGTATTTGACAAGAAAACAAATGTACATACATGTATATTTATATATATGAGAGAGAGGTATGAAGTCAAGATGGCAGGAAAGCAATTTAATTGTTTTCATTAGCTATTCTTTCAGTTAATGCTATGCTTTCTTCTTAGTTTTATGAACCTTAGTGGCGGTATTGTGTTCTCAATTGATATGCTCAGAATCTTGAAAGAAGGATTTATTTCTTCTAAATTGCGCAAGCTGTTTAATTTCTTCTTCAAATCTAAAATTAAATTTTTTTTTGATTATGTTACAGGATTATTGCATTACTGCTTATGACCCAAAGATATAGGCTCATTTATTGCATAACAAGTAATTGCCATTACTTCACTGGTTCGAGTCCTAGACTGCTACTTGTGCAAATGAGCCTATATTTCTACCTTGAGAATGTCTATATTTCTTTGTTTAGATATGTGGTTGGCAGAGAAAGTTATGAATTCCATACCAGTTTCTTTTTTTCTTTTTTTGATAACAAGAACCCTTGACTCCACCTTCAGTGAGACCCAGTAAAACCCCGGATATGTGTTGCCTCACATATCGGGCAAAGTTGAGACTTACCAATTGAGCTAAACCCTTACGGGTGTGAATTCCATACCAGTTAGTGTATCGTTTTGTCACTGGAATTGATTTTTAAAATTTTTTTAGTGGTATATTATCATAAAAATCAAGGCACTTGAGTTATTTTTTACAAAAACAACTACTATTATAACTGGGCTATTCTTAGAACACGCATATATCAAGGTAAAATAGATTTGTAAGGCTTTCAATTCTAGGTGTGTGGATCAGCAGGCAACAGCGAAAGGTGCACCCTTCTGAGCCAAAAGGAACCTCTATCAAATGGGAATGTATTTAATATTTTCATTAAGGGAAACTGAATAAAGGAACAGCGAAAGGTGCATCCTTCTGAGCCAAAAGGTGCCTCTATCAAATGGGAATGTATTTAATATTTTCATTAATGGAAACTGAATAAATAAAGGTGTGATTAATCACCTTTCATAGCATTTTCTAGTTGCCTTTTGCATAAAATTTGAAATGGAGTTCACTTAGTAGCTAGTTGTTCCTCAGTTTATTTCAATAGCATTGCACTTTTCATGCAAACTGGAGACACTTCACCAGTAACATGAAGATTCTTTATGTTCTGTTAGCTATTGGTGGGGAATATGAATGAGGTAATGATGTAAA